CACATTTTATTTAGCGTTTTTCCAAATGGCAGGTTCTAATACAAATCTGGGATTTTCTTTTCTTTTAATTAAAATGATGAGTTTTGTAGTGAGAAATATTAATTAAAAGTGTTGGATTATTAGAAGTAATTCGTAATCGTGATAATTATAAAGAAAAGCGGAGAATTACGCGCGCTTAAAATACTATATAATTATACAAAAAATATAATTAATTATTAAATCAATGGCATAATATTAGATGAATGTGAATATTGTTCGCTCGTGATCCTGATTATCGTAAGCCAGTCATGTTCATCCACTTGCGATTTGTCTCTTGTTAAAATATACCGCATTGTTCTAGTTTGTAGTGACCTATAACTTTCTATTATCGGCTTTTCTTCTTTACTATTATTTGCGAGGCTTCGATTTGCCAGTTTTTACTTCGGTATCGCTCCAATCATATTTTCTGCGTTAAAACTAAAGCACAATTCCGAATTAAAATCATTTGATATCGATTGATGGAATTTAATAGTGATATAAATTATAAGTACCATATGGTCGAGCTAAGATATGCAAGCCATAATGAAATACAAACATACAAAATTCTTTTCTAAGATAAAGAGATTTTATCACAGCTTGATAAAGATATTTTATCACAGCTTTGACACATATTCGCAGAACTATAAGCATGCAAAATTATTTTTAGAAGCGGTATAAACAAACTATTTAGAATAAAAGAGAAATATTCGGTGAAATGATAATATTTATTAGTGTAAGAAAGAATTAACTTTCAGATTATCGTTAATTCTTATTGTCATTCAATGTTCGTTTTCACGATTGAGACGGATTACACTTTTGTGATAAATTATGTTTATAATTTATTACAAAAGAATCTAGCAATTCGTTCATTTGATTTTATATCGAGAACGGCTTGCGATATTTAATGTGGGTATGGAAGTATGCAAATATAAAGTATGCGAAGCAAGTAGAATACGATGTTATCAAATAGTACTACACGTTCTTTTTCAGTCTGCAATCTGGAGACGCATTTTCAGTGTGGTAACAAGACTTCCTGCCTTCCGTTGGAGAGGAGATGCGACAGAAAGATAGACTGCTGGGACGCAGCTGACGAGATTAATTGCACGTTAGGTGAGCATTCCAGCGTTTTATTGCGATAATGATAGTCTGAGATGTCGTAATATTCAAATGAAATGTACAAACAAAAATGTTATGCTACATGTATATGATAAAAGAGCAATTTTCTTAAGATTGTTTGTAGAGACGCAAATTCTAATCGTAATCTAAAATTTAAAATATTTATCAAGTGATACGGTGCCTTATATTTATTAAGTATTCCTTTAGTCGCACTTGTTTAAGTTTTGTTGCAGCAAAATGATGGTAGATGCAGTGACAAAAATATTATCAGTTTTTTCAAAATATCATTTGTAATGAAGGTTTACTTTATATTTTGTTCTTGAGCACTTCTCAAACACTCTTCTGGCATATCTCCAAGACATTTTAATGTCCTTGCAAAATACAGACAAAAAAGAAGATAGGACATTTTGTGTAAAATTATAAACAGAAAAATTATTCGTAGTTCTCCTTTTACATCGCTTGATCAAGATCCTTTTCATACCTTTTTTCTTTGTTTCCTTTATAGGTCATGATCTTGGTTGGTGTGAGTACATATTTATATTTGAAATGCATGTATATTTTGTATAATTTCTGCATGCTGAATTTTTAATAATGCACGATTTCATTAATAGAACGGTGAAATTGTTTATATGGTTTCTCGTATAATATTAACATTAGATTTTGATATATCTACAAACTAACACATTTTTATTCAAAGAATATATTTATATTACTTATTACATACATCTGGGATTCGAATATCCTAGAAAAAAGATAATCCATAGATAAAAATAGTTAAGTTTCCTGTATAAATATGAAAATAATTAAGTATACAAATTTATGATTCATTTGTTAAATATTTAAGAAAAGCAGTTGATTTTCTAAAAGAGTAACTTAAATATAATTCCAGCAGAATCAAAATTAAAAATCTCTTGTTTCGAGTTATTGAATATTTGAACAAAGGTAAAATGCCGAAAAAAAAAAACTGGTTTAAATAATAATTTTTATTCTTGATCCTTCAGTTTGCTCATCGGAAGGCGAATTTACTTGTATCAATGGGGAATGTATACAGAAAGATCGGTTTTGCGATGGATTGACGGACTGTAGCGATGGAACAGACGAACCTCATGGATGCAAAGGGCGATGCAATAAACACGAATTTACATGCCAGTAAGTCAATATTTTAAATTTTCTCTGTATATAAAAAATAGATAGAGAGAAAGAGATGCAATAATTAAAATAATACATTCTCTTAAGAAGATATTTTAGAATATTTTTTTCTTTTCGTGAAATTAAATTTCTCTTTTTATAAATTTACATTTTTTTCTATTCTTAACATGTCTATCGATTTATCCTTATATATATATATATAACAGGTTTATTTACTCTAACTTTATTTATGAATTATTAAATAATGAATCTTTTACTTTTTTCTGCGAAATAACTGTATTATTGAATGTGTCGAATATTTTAATTTTTGATATTTTTTAATATACTTCGATTTTTGTTAAAAGGAATTGAATTTTTGAATTCAACACATATTTTTAGATCTTTGAAAAAATAAGAATTTTTTTACAAAGAGAACAGAAAAAAATTTGCAATATTTTCATTCAAATATATTGTTTTATACATGTAAAATTTTTCTATTGTACAGAAACAGTAGATGTATTGCAAAAGGAATGAAGTGCAATGGGTTTGACGATTGCGGAGATGGCTCGGATGAGATACATTGCAAAGACCGGTTTATTTAGTATTTATATATGAAGGAAAACATTGCCAATCAGAGAGAGATCAAATACAGTATTTTATACAAATAAATGTACGTAATGTATATAGTGTGTTGTATAGAGACAGAAATATGACAGAAATATATATATTAAATCGCTTTATTTATTGAATCTAGTGCTATATATCCTTTCGTTTTTTTTCCTTTACCTCAACAATTGTAAATACATAATACATTGGTGAGTTATTGTGATCCTTTTATTGTGTAACTATTAAGACATATGTAATATGTTATAAAAGAGCATTATAAATGTAATGATTATGTAAATTATTTTTATTCACAAAAAGAAAAATTATCGATTTTATGCGGAATATATCGTTATGGACACAAATGATGAAATGATTTAATGTAACATACATTTTGTTATCTAAATATACTTACTACTTAAAAACATTGTAGAATTCTCTCAAGCCAACACATATATTTTATACTAATTGTAAGATAATGTCAGATGCTACATAATTCGTAATTCATACGAGAAATAACAGAAATTCGTCGGTCAGCAAAAAGGATTCTTATTACTGTTCGCGATTCATGATCTGTTATCTATATAGTGTAACTCTGTATGCGAATTGATCAATTCATATCTCTTAATTATCTCAAGAAATCGTTTCACTGACAAATATTGAGAAATTGAATGACGACTTATAAATGAAAATTTGATAAGATCCAATTATAACTTAAGATTTTCATACGAATATCGTCATGAATTATTTATAAATTTCACATTCAAGTTTAATTTAGATTTTTTACATTTCACTCAATTTGATCAATGTTTCGAATTTTATTCTTTTGTATATAAACTATGTGTAACATATTTTCTTCTTTCATAAGCCTCTTTTTTAAACAAAATATTAAATGTTTTTATACATGTCTATTTATACATGTTTACTATAACTAATTTTATTTTAGAAAGTGATTAATATTTGTAGATATATATATGTACACAGGTATGCAATGTACACACTTGTGAATGACTTACAGAAAAAAAATGTTTTAAGTGATTCTAAGCAGCGTCTATATATTTTTATATCGATCAGTATATCTCTTTTAATCATCCTATAGGAATTCGTCCGGTTCCCGTGGAGCATCGAGATCTCGATAATGTATGACTGGTCGAAAATCGCCACTGCAATATTAAATATTAGAAAAAATGACAAAAATTGATATTATTGCATATATACACACACACACAAAATAAATATAACAATAAAATAGATGAATAAAACAATTCTGAAAAAGTATATGTAAATTTGTTTTTAATTCTACTATACTGTATGCATGTATTTATGTGTATGGAAGATATACCATATGTATATAAAAATTAAAATTTTCTTCCCATACGCAGCAGCTATACAATAAAGTTGGTTAAAAAATTACATGTATTATTAAAAATAATAATTAAAAATTCGTATTTTTTTCTTTCTTTATGCTTCCCATAATGTTATATATATATATATATAAAATGGCTATTGACATATCAGGATTTTCCATGACATATGACCAACCGGACATAGGGTTTAAACGGAAATGGGACAAAATAAAATAACAAATCATTAGAGTAACACACAAATAGGTTTATTTGTTATTCATATTATAAATTTGCAGCATCAATAGATCCTTGCATTCATTTTAGATGGGACTGTATAAAAGTTTATACTTATAATTTAAAAACTATTTTAATAAAAAGAAATAAAGCAAAATATTTTTTCTGTACATACAGGACGATTTTTTATTACTTGTTAATACTTCAAGAGAGATTATAGAGCTCAAAATATCATAGATTATTTATAGGCTTTATTTATTTAGTCATAAGTAAAAACAGGCACCAGAGATGCATCTGCTTTCTATAATAAATAAAGCCCAAATAGTTCCTAATCATTTTCCTTATTTTGAGTTTTATATTTATTTCTGAAAATTTATATTTAATTAAAAACGCACCCTATTAATCAGTGTGTATATATAGTGGATATATAGACATGCACAAGTAAATTTCTTTTTCTAAATAATTTTTTGTTTTTAAGTATATAATACCGGATCTTGATGCGCATTAAATAAATTTGATTTATATTATAAATAACATTTAAAAGATTGTGCTAATTTTGTAGTATAATTTTTCGATTGCATTAGTTTTTTCTTTTTCTTAAATGGTGTGTTACCTAATCAAGTACATAGAAATGGTATTAGCGTTTTTATAATTGGTTTAATCTCGTGGTGAAATTATTCGCGAGATTTTGACAAAACTTAAAACAAGTCCATGTCCGGCTGGTCCAAGTCATTATAACTAACAACAGGTCTTGATGTAGTATCCGGAGCGGCTCTGTAAAACATTGTATCACTATGTTCAATATATCAACTCGAACAGACCAAGGTTATATTACCGAATCTTGAATCTTGTCTCAATTCAATATAACTTACTCATCAAAGAAAATTGAATGTTAATCGTGTAATCTTTCTATAAACTCTACAACCATGCCATTATCTCAAAGTACTTATCTGTAGATTTTATTAATTGCATTGAAACATAAAGAAGTATTTCTTACCGTCCTCGATTAAATCCGCCACGATTAGAACGTGGAGCACTAAATCCAAATCCGCCACCATAACCAGAACCATAATTGCTTCTGTTACCGCCAAAACCACTACTGTAACTTCCGAATCTAGAAATATTTGTGGATGTTTGCGTTGAGTACCTTAATGACGTTATTTCATGTTATTTCAATGTTATCGTTGAATGCTTCACAAAATACAGATAAAATCGCATTTTTATACTATATATACTACACACACGCACACACATACACACACGTACGTACGCACGCATAAAAGCATTTATTTCTTAAGTATTTTTAATTACCAGTAACTCTCTTGTACTTACGAACTGCAACCATATGGCGCAAAATTGTCCCGTGATCCTTCTCTTAACGGAGCCTTGTTGCCAGGATGCTCAGGAAGCTGAGGCCTTTTTGGATCTTTTAAATAATTGTTGAAGTACTCAGCTTCCGCTTTCACTTCGGCAACTTTCTCAGAATGCTTGTTGAAGATATGTTTACGGATAAAATCAGGTCCTTTAAATTTTTTTCCGCTAAGAGGGCACAACCATTTGTCTTTCGACAATTCTTGGGTGTTGGCTTGAACAAACTTTTCGACTTCACTGTTTATATATTAAGGAAATATTGTTTAAACCACAACAAAAAATATAAATCTGAGAAAATGATGATTAATTTAAATCAGTGTCCCAGATGTGTAATTTTGAATATTGGCTTAATACATGTTAGCATTTACCCTTATTGCCTTTCTTTTTCTTAAGAAATGAAAAAAGGAAAGTAATATATGCATCAATATATGCCGATGTATGTCAAGGTAACACTTAGAATTTTGGACAGCACTGGTTCGTCATTTTTCAGATTCATGTTTCCTATATATATTGTATTCTATAATATTAATTAAATATAATATTATATAATATTAATTAAATATAATAATAATAATTAAAAGCATAAATAGATAAGGATACGCTTCAGCATTTTTCGCGCCTAATTTCTCGAAATCTTCATTAGATAAAGTAGCAACTGGTTGTAGAAAAGCAGACATTTTGCTTTCAAAGTTGCGACAATATTCCAATAATTCTGCACTTGAGACCTTGGCGGTGGGTGGACATCCTCTAACATGCATTATTCCGCATCTATTTGGCATCTCGTCCTCGTTTGGATACTCGCAGTGATTGTAATAATCAACGGAATGAACAACTCGCAAGTATAGCACTAATCTGTCTAATACCTGTGAGAATGAATATAATGTTTTATTGATAAATATAAAATACGATATATTATACGTACCTCATCAAATAATTATCTATGTCTTGATCTTCCATTATATTATTTAAGTTTATTTAATTTACCTTGATTAGAATTGGATCTCTCTCGATTGAACTATCTCCATCGCCGCCTAACTGACCTTCCTCTTGTTCACCTGACATACCTAGTAATTCTTCTTCTTCAGCTGAAGCTTCTTCTATTAAGTAGTCTGTTATGTTTTTCAGTACTGGATTTTTAGATGACAATCCGAAAGCCTAAAATGTCATGCAAAATTTCATATAATTGTATAATACAAGATTTCTATAGATAATATATATAAATGCAAATTTTACTTACAGCTTGCTCAACCTCGTTGCTACTCTGAGTGGTCTTATTTTCTTTGTCGTCTTCCTGTTTTATTGTGCTTTCATCTTTCTTTTCTTCTTTCCATAGTCCCACTTTATTATCCAAATTGTGAACAATTTTGGCACTAAGTTTAATATCATGTCTGACTATTTGCTTATGAGATGTTAAACCATTCACTGATCGAATACGTCGTGACAGATCTCTGTTTACTATTGCACCAAGCTCACAATCACGTAGCTATGTGAGAGATGTAGTAATTAAAAGTATCCGTTTCTTTTTTTAATAACAAATGCACGAATATAAACTAGAGCTCGCTATTATACGTTTAAACGAAAATACGTTTACGCGTATAATTAGTATATCCGTTTATTAGAAACGTTTTTCCGAATATACGTGTAATTAACTATTATACGTTTAAACAAAAACACGTTTACACTATAATTAGCATATCCATTTATTAGAATCGTTTTTCTGAATATTTTCACTTTTTTTATATAAACTTTTATTCCTTTATTAAGGAGTGTGACGAATTGAGAAAATGCAAAAAATTCGATTTTTAATTTTAGTAAAAAATGTTAAAATATTCGAAAAGATGTTTTTCATAGATGGATATGTTAAATATACATGTAAATGTATTTTCGTTTAAATGTATAATAAAACACGTATATTCGGAAAAATGTTTCTTTTATAAACGGATATGCTAATTAAACGTGTAAACGTTTACCTTCAAGTAAACGTTTTTTTGAAAGCGAATATAAACGGATAAACGTTTTACGTTTACACGTATCTTCGAAAAACGAAATAAAATTAGAGCTCTAAAATATAAACTTACTCGAATGTTGTTTAAACTCCAGCAGATTTCTTTGATGTTCACTTGACGTTCGAACGAAACCCAGCCACGACGGAACCATCGTCTTTCCGGCTGTGGATCTGCTATAGCCACACGTAAGAATCCAGGAAATCGCTTGCACATCTATTCGTTAAATATAATTATGTAATTATATTATGTTATAAATGTGTCGATAATCACATCATTAATGCAAAAGAATAGTTCAAAATGAAAATGTAAATTATTTAAATATAGACAAAAGCTTTTATAAGATTTATTAACTAAAAAGATTTCAACTAACAGCTTCGACTTCTGCCTTAGTAATGGTCGGCGCCAAGTTACGTAGAAATATGCTACTGGTTTTGTGCAAAGCTCTAGGTTCTTTCTCTTTATCTTCACTAGCTAAATCGATTACTGCTTCTGGTTCAATTGTAGACTTTTTATTATTTTTTGCTTCCACTTCTGTTTTAACTTCCTGTTTCTCTACTTTAACGTCTTTTTCATCGGCATCTTCATTAGTAGCTTCTATTTTCTCGTTGGCAGCTGAAATGACAATTAATTTACGAAAACAAATATGAATATTATTCTGATGACTGATCACTGAAGAGGACAGACATTAAAAGTAGAAACGTTTGTTTATATTATTTGAATCATATGATTGTTTAAATTAGCGCACATTAACTAGCTAATCTCTGATAGCTCTTCACGATATATATTTGAATTGTTATTCATTAGAGCTTATTTTAATACATTATTAAATTACAAATACGAATATTATTCTGATGACAATTCAACATTTTCACAAAGTATACAGATTTAATTATACTTACGCATTTCTACTTTCGGTGTATCCAGTTTATTACTGTCACTACCAGAGGAACTACTGCTGTTGCTACTACTGCTGCTACTATTGCTGTCGGTACGTTTACGCTTTCTTGATTTCTCCGATTTTTCCGCTGTAACAAAATAGCTTATAACGTATGTGAATGAAAAATCTCTATATAAAATAAATATTTTACATACGAGGTTTATCATTATCAGCAGTTTCTTCTACATTTTTACTTTCTTCGTCTTCGTTTTCCTTGATTTTGTTAGAGTCAGATACTACATTTTCGTCTGTTATTATGTTTTCGACTTCCATATTAGCATTTTGGTCATCTTTCAGATCTTTCTCGTCGTGTTGTGAGTCGTCCAACTTGTTTTCCTCGCTAAAAATAAAATTAATAGAATAATTAATGTCATTTAATAATATTAATACATTATTTCTTCATATTTCATATATCTTTTTCAAAATATCTAATATCATAAAATACCTATTTTCAGATTTCTTCTCTGTAGAAGATTTTCTCTTGTGATCTTCCTTTTCTTTCAGAACATCTTTAGTCATAGGCTTAAATAGTTTCACATTTAAAATCTGTAAATCTTCCTCTGTTCCACCCTCTAGTTTAATAACCACTGCATCTAAAAGATGTAGCAATGAATCTGCTTGATCGGCATCAACGGACACCTTGTCTATGTCTCCTGACTTTAGCAACTCCAAAAAAATTTCCACGCGTTTCTAAAGTAGAAATAAAATTTGAGATTTCTGTCAGCCGGGCAAATATATTAATGATAGAATTAGAAAATAAGTTATACATTTTGGTGTTGTAGTTACCTTAAGCGCTGATACTTGCTCTTCTTTCCTTTTCACTGATTCCTCAGGATGGTATTTTATTTTGAACCTGGTGATCAATAGAAAAAAATGCGATAAATGGATGTTCACGAAATCATTTATATACATATAATGTATTTATATAATAATATTAAACAAGTCCAGAATAGAGAAACATACGTATTAGAGATGCAGCTAGTTCTGTAATTCAAGAAAGGCAACGCCTTGAAAACATAGACCTTTTATAATACACGCAGATATGAGGTATGTAAAACATCATAAAGTAATTTTTTAATGCGACGCGGAAGATAAAAATAAAAAAAGTAAATATAATGTTTTACTTCCTCATATTATGCATGCACATGCATATATCCATAAAGTAAAAATTTTAGAGTATTATATCATATCAATCATAATCCCTCCCTCATGTTTTTCCTGTAGTAACATATATGTTAAATTTATATACAGCAAAGCGCGCATAAAACAAAGTACCCACGTGAAAAATAAAATATTAGTAAGTTTTAAAATTATAATTCTACATCACAATTAGATCGTCATAAATACAATATTTCTTGAGTTGTACAAGTTTTAATTAACTGTGAATCATCGTTTTGTGACTTACAAATCCATATTCATAATGCTCGAAAATATACCTCAAATATTTCGAGTGCCATGCAGCGCGATCGCGCCGCTCACTTTTCATGTCAAAAAGTTATAAAAGTCACAGTAAGTTTGATAATGTGCTCAACTTGTATTAATTCTCAGAATTTGATTACGCTTTACAATCGAAGTTTGTTTCGTTTTCTTTCAATTTATTAAAATTAGATAAAGAACTATACATATGTACTAGGTAATTTTATTTTTACTTATTATGACGTTTATTACTTTTTAATATGTAACAGAAGACGCGCGAACGTGCTCCTTGGCATTTTTCGCACAAGTTTTTACGATCACCTTCGGCACTTAAATGGTTAAATATGGTCGGAAATATCAACTCAGAGTGGAGCCTCACCTGTAGTCATATTTCTACTCGCATTCAGTTTTCTCGTCGACACAGAGTCTTATCGACAAAGACAGTGTATTCTCGAATATAAAAATAAATAACGGGTTTAGAACGCGGCCTACCGAGCAATATTTGGGCTTTGCGCGCCCAGCTCGCAATCTATTTAGCTACCTAACAGGCACCTTGTGTCTTCAGCGATGCGCGGGACGCGAAATTCATAAAATATCGTACGAGAAAATAAACGGGCGAGATGACCCAATATAAGACGATGACGGCGATTTGCTGTAGGGATAGAATAAGCTGGTCATATTGTTTGAACTTAGCTACAATATATCGTATCTGCAATTTATCAGAGATTATAAATCATCTTCCATTTTTTCCAGGCATGTAGCCATATATGTACATGCATGGACAGAGTTCCACACGACCGATTTCCTACAGTGGCATTACTCAAAAGTATTCATTGCTTACATAATTATGATTTTAATAATGTTGTTCAATAATTCTTGATAGAAAATAGCATTTTAGCCACTGTAAAAACAAATTCTATTTTGTTATTTATCAAAGACGCCATGATAAAATCGTTCAATCCTAAATAATATAATGATGCAACCCCAAAAATGTGTGAAAACGAAGAATATAAGAATTAATATACCATTCTTCGTCTTTATGGGCGACAAAAAATTCATTGAGCTGTTGCCTCCTAAATTCCAATTTGTACTCGTTGTAGCGTTTAATCGCCTCCTCGTCAGTAATAGTATCTTCTTGAGTACCAAGGAATGCTTTGAATGACATCATGGGTGGCTGGGTTTCAATATTTGAATTACTGAAATTTCCTGCAACTTCTCGACTGAAAACAATTACATTAAAAATATATTATGTATGTTCTTCAATCACAATATAAATATTATAAGGATTAATCTATAATACAATAATTCATCATACAATATATTTATTATATATATATATATAGCTATTATATAGTTGTTAGCTAGTTGCAATGCAATTTGTGCATTAATATCTTTGTCATTGAATGGGAATATATTTCTTTTTCTCTTTAAATAGAAAGATTTCTAAAGAGAAGTAATAATTGTATAGTTTTCTGCATTTAGTAAGTTTGCATCTTATAAATGTAAATACCTTAATTTAGCTAATAATTTTGGAGTCAAACGACTTCGTTTTGGCGGAATTCTCATAAATCCTGCTCTCTTCATCATTATTTATTTGTCATAACAGTCTAACAAAATTCAGAAAAGACTTGGTTATAACAAAACAAACGAACCTGCTACTATTATTATGGTTGCCATAGTGATGGTTGCCATGGTGAGGAGAAGCATAATTATCTGGGCTCCAAGAATTCCCACCTCCACCTCCACCTCCACCTCCACCACCACCACCACCTCCACCAGCACCACCGCCACCACCGCTTCCGCCATAATAATCATGTCCATATCTTGGCCTATCATCCCATTCAAATCGCATTCTCTTCATAGGTGGTCCCATATCTTGAGATCTCGCAGGACTGTAACGATCACGACCTCCACTTCCACCACCTCGATATTCTCGATAATCTGGACGTTGCCTAGGACGACTGGACCATTCTCTATAAGAATCACTATCAGTATAACTAGAACAATGATAACAAAAAGCATAACAAAAACTATATAAGCTTATATTACAATTCTTTTTCATATAATACGAGAAGATATATCAGATTTTTAATAGATTATGGAAAGCAAGATAAAAATTTTATATTTGTCGACTATAAAATAGTTACAATAATGTAAAAAGATTAGATGTATATAACACATTATGTACCTATCGACCCAGTCATCACGCCTACGATCATCTCTGCGTTCTCGTGAATATGACTCAGTTCTCTCACCTCTAAATTTATCACGCCTTTTTCTATCGTATTCATCGTCGGAATCTGCCATCTTCGTAAAGTACTAAACCTTTATATCTCTGAAATAACACATAAGAAGCTGTTTAATTAAGATACATTAATAGTTCGACGTGCTTGAGAGTGAGGTTAGGTGCAATTAACGCAAATTAATGTGAATAGTCTTTTTCTACGAAATCGTGACAACAAAATTGACGACGGATGGAGCTTCCTTCAGTGCGAGCATCTAAATTCTCGACACTATTAAAATGTTAAAATTGACGAATTTTTTATCCGGAAAGAACGTGATAGAAACGCGATAGAAAGCCAAGTCGCGATCCAACACGTTTTATCGCTGTCCTTCGTTCGGGAAAGCAGCCGTCACGCATAATAAAGATGAATATTGGATGATAATACGATTAATTGTTTCACTTACGTGTACGTATCACTCTACGATACCAAGATGAAGGCGATTAGACGAATGAAAAGTGATGAAAAGTTTTCTTTAAAATAGCGTAAAAAGAAACGCACTGGGAATTCTGCGTCACCAGTGATCTTCACTTACGTGAATGGCGCTACAGTTCGCTATCGATCGACTCTCGCATCTCGAATCGACGCCTTTGCATGAACGCGGAAAATTTAAATCTCTAAATTGGCGCGAAGGAACCATATAAGTATTTGAGGCAAATCGCGCTTTTTACCATTATTGAAATATCTAAGGAAAAGTTTATATATATGTATAAACTTTCCTAGAATTATATATTTATCTTGTTACAACATTAGCGTGCGATATGTACATGTTGGAAGATTTGAGATTAATCCAATCTAAGAAATACATAAAAGTCAACAAAAGATCAAAATGACTTTATTTTGATCTTTTCTTCTTATAATGTCTAATTATAATGTCTTCTTATAATGTCTAATTATAATGTTCTTATAATGTCAATGATCAGTCAAATTTTGTAATAAAAAAATTATTGTTTTGACTTTCATGACATTAAAATAAAATCATTTAGATCTTCTCTTGACTTGATGTTTTCCTTGGGATGTAGAACATAATCACAATAGAACAGAGTCATAATGATATCATAGGACACGTCGTCATGATTTCATTTGTCATTTATAAGTGAATTTATAAATGACAAATAAGATCATGATGATATCATTACTACTTTTGTGTTCTATTTGATAATGTATATTTTTATCTGTTTTTATTTATTATTAAATCTGGCTTATTTTATTATGGAAATTTAGTTCTTTCCTTGTTTTCTGATTTATAAGGAGTCTCTTAGTCAGGTTGATTTATTATACATTATATCTCAATTGGAACCTTTTAAATTATATTAATATAAAGGATATCAAACTTGAGGTTTGATGTGTGTTATTTTGTCAAAACTATTCATAAAGCGGACTTTTGAAAAAGAAAAGGAAGAATATCGCAAGCGTAATGTGACAATTAAACCTTTTTTAAGAGGAACGGCACAACAATCTTCTTAATTTGACAGACAAATTATTATGTGCGTCGGTATCCTCTAAAGTCTAATTGTAAGATTACTCTGTATCCGGTATTGTGTGAATTTTCATTGATCGTACGATTAATCTGTTAACACGGATGTAACACGCCGTAATAAGGAAATTGAAATCTTCGTTTCTCTTGATAACATCTAGGCATGCGTCTCCATCACGCAGTACCATTTGTGGCCACGTATTTTTATATCCTGTGTTTTCCCCAATTATGATTGTACTTTATTATTCTGCAGGACATTGGCATATAGAAGAGAGACATCATAACACACATACAATCTAAAAGTACTTACACACGATTGCGGATATTGTCATTATTATTATTCTTATTATTACACAATGAATTGTAATTTTATCTTTTACGTGCGCGCATACTGATCGCATAGTTTTGCGACATTTATATGAAGTTTGCACGCGCATACACAACTGCGAGAAGAATTCCGATGTATTTCAATGTAAATGATTCACCGAAAAGTCAGTCCTCTCTATTGAAACGCATTCCATATATAATTTACGATACTCTAATCTAATCGTAGGAGTTGTGCATTAATAAATAGAAAATAGGGGCGTGTATGGCATTAATGGAATGGATATGACATAAATTTTTATACTTCTAAGAATAGAAATGATTCAAAACAAACACCAGCGAAATGAAAATAATCGCGTTTGGAAAAAAATAAATTTAATTTGGTGATTATTTAAAAGAAATTGTTGAAGTCGATCAATTAGTTTCAAGAATTTGTATTTTTCAACGTGTATTATTTGCATGAGACTTACAATTGCAATTAACATGTAAACACGACACTGTAATCGGCAATAATTGCAGCATACCTTTTGAAGTAATAATTTAAGTAGGTAATAATTTCAGTATATCTAATTGTAAGCTGCAACGTACACGCAATGAAAACAATTTGTTATTTATGATTATGTTAGGTTTATACATGATATTTCATAAATTGCGTTTCACACGGAAAATCAGTAAATCATCAGTCAATCATCAATGATCATTTCTTTTATCGAGAAACATTGATTAATAAATACAAAGCTATTTAGTGATGAAAATTTTGAGATTTCAACGATAAAATGTCTTTAAAATTGAAGTATAAACGTAAATACGTAGACCAAAGCGTATAATGTTAATTTATATTAACTCTATTATTTTAGATAATGTATACTTCATCCCGAAATTTAGGATAGAACTCTATTAATAATTTTATACAAGGTAGGCCATTTTAATCAATACACGCGAATATCTCGTCAGGTAAGCAAGATAGCGAAAAATGTTTCAGACCAAAGTTGTATGACTTTGAGGGGGACATAAGATGGTGTCATTAGTTTGACCTTGAATAGTTGCTTGAAGGATACGTGAAGGTCACCTTCAATTTCTTAAATGGAAATTTAAAAGTACTTGATGAAAAAATATTTTATTATGGTGTTTTGGAAAGCTCTCGAGGTAAGTTATAAGAATATGCAATGAAAAATAAGGGTTTTCATTTAAGAAATTGAAGGTAACCTTCACATGATCTTCAAGCAACTATTCAAGGTCAAACTAATGACATCATCTTATGTCCCCCTCAAAGCCATACAACTTTGGTCTGAAATATTTTTCGCTATCTTGCTTATCTGACGAGATATTCGCGAGTATTGATTAAAATGGCCTACTCGTATATACTGTATAATATGATACATATTTGAAGAATTAAAAAACATATGTTTATAAAATATATATATATATGAAAATAGATGGCACATAAAAATATAAATAGTATTCTCTATAGGTTTTAGATAGAAATTTATTGATATTTATCAGTTTTTAAAATATCCAATGTAACGTCAACAGCTTTAAATAAATATCTTTGCTCTTAAAAGGAAAAAATAAATTCTATTATTTTATATTATTATATCAACAAGTATATAAGTTAAAGGACTCGGATTCATTTTTTTTTTAACAAAAAATAGTATGTTTGATGAATATGTATATTAAATTAACATTGATATCTTGATAGAAGATACGGTAAGTGAAAAAGACTTTGAGAATTCCTTGTACGAGATTAATATAAAACGTGCACGGATTCGCAGCATTCGCTCATAGCATGCCATACAGGATGCGTAAACGTGACAAGCATTGAAGTCTCTCTCGGGGAAACTCCTAAAGAACGATGACGTACTCCGGCTATAATGGACCATCTCAAACCAGTTCTACCGTTTTACTACATCGTATATACTGTTTCTATTAGTATCTGATCGTTTGTCTGGTAGTAGTAAATAGTAGAAACAATAATTACTCATTGTTCGACAATGTACGAATGTCTCTGGCTGTGCTGCGCTGCTGAGGATGCCACCTTCGCGAATCGCTCGCGGCGGCATTCGGGATCCGCGGCGTCCCTTTCACTGTTGGGGATATCCTCATTATATATATGAGCTTTCGATCAGGATACTCTTGGCAATGGATCGGCACTCGGCGCCGCAGTGTAAACGAAGCAATCGGTAAAGCAACATTCGCGAGCCGGCCTCCGCCGAGATCGCTGAGATGTGGATCCGCAGCTTGCAATGTTCTCTGGCGGTGTTTTTCGCATGCGCGTTTCTCGCCGGCTCAGGTAGCTTCCCATTATAAAATCTATTTTAGTTTTATATAAATATTTGTCGTGCACGCGCCCAATCAGGCGAGTCATATTTTTAAATCGAAGTATGATTGCACGTGCATTTATATGAAAAAATTAATCTTTTAAATACTCACCTATTTATTAAATAAGTTTTTTTTACTGACAATTTTATCTGTCTCTTCTTTTGTTTTGCATTGTGTAAGATAGATACGAATAAAATAAATTTTGAGCAAATATATTATTAATTAATTTGTAAAAAAACAATCACATTATTTTAATAATTGATAATTATTAATATAGTTATAAAAATATATATAATTTATAATAATTAATGAGACTATAATATAATTTATAATCAAAACTGCTTGGGAAAGCATTTTTTATATCTGATTAAATTTTTAATTCATTGTAATCTGTCAAAATTATAATTATAAACTTGTACTGTCTAAATTTCAAGTACACGTGCATGAATAGACAATGAAAGCAATAGCGATACTTTTAGTATGTATATTTATTCCTCCTTTGTGTACAACTCAATGAAATCATCTTTATAAATAATATTGGAGGCCACATCTCCTTGGTGCCATAACGTCATAATTACATATATGGTTGTTGGCCTATTTGCGGAGGAGTACAATTGTTTTCACGTGTATTGTGTAATATTTTCTGTTACGAATTATGGACAAAAATTTACAACCTTCGTCCAGAAAGTTATTGCAGACAAATGAAAAGTATCCAGTCAATTTTGTTTCTGTGAGAATAGAGTCATATATATATATATATATATATGTGTATTCTCTTATTGCGTGCTATATAAATTTCAACATTTTATATCCGAACCTTTATTCATTACAATGATACTCGATTATTCTACGTGAGAATGTTTCGGTGACATTAATAGACATTACTATACGTAGAATGAATATTAAGTGCATGAAGTTTATAACTTGACGATTGTAATTTTCAAAATTTTATATAAATAAAAAAAAGCGAAGAAACAAAAAGGTATACTCACATATATCATAGTTTAAACATTACTAAAAATGACTTATGTATTTATTTTTTTAGATAGTGTATCAACTGGTGCATACGCCGGTGCATACGCTGGAGCCAGTGTATGTAATAAAAATTTTTCTCATAATTTCTCATAATTTTACAGATAGCATGTCATATTTACTCATAAAATGATCGCTTTCTCATAAATACTCATAAATACTCATCAAACGTATATGAGAAAATATGAGAAATTAAATACTTTATATAAGAAAATATGATTTTTTCTCTATATTTTGCCATTATTTGTATGATTTTCTTTTTCTAAATATGTCGTATTTTTTCATATTTTCTTATATAAAGTATTTCATTTCTCATATTTTCTCATATACATGATAACAATTTTTTTTATAATTTTTTTTTTTAAATTTTTTCAAAATTTCTCATAATTTCACATAATTATTTACAAATTGTTCATATAAAAAATTATAAAATATTTTATGAGAAAAATTTTTACCAGGCATCTGCATTAAGCAGCACCAGTGTGCTTGAAGACACAGAAAATATTCCTGGTGCTCACGATAGACATAAGGGAATTCGTAGCTACGACAGCACCGGTTTTCCCCACGACAATAATGCTAACCGTGGTGTAAAATCTTATGGCACGCCTTCCGGACAAGGTGCCAGCTATGATCATGGAATAAAAGGCGGAGGTCACGGCTATAATAAGAACAATGATTGCTCTAAATGCAAATGGGAGAACGATGATTACTGGGAGCGGGATGAGCCGGAAGAGGAGGGAGATGAAAACGATGGGGATGAATGCGATGATGGTCAATACAGACCCCATAAAGTGCATCACCAAGGTCCTGGTACAGGACACAAACCAGGGTCGCATCCACCTGGTGTACATAAGACTGGTCCTACGGGCGTTTACGTTGATGGGGGAGGCGGTAGCCCTGGCGGTCCTTTAGGCGGTAGCCCTGGCGGTTCTTTAGGCGGTAGTCCTGGCGGTCCTTTAGGCGGTATCAACTATCCGAGCACAGGATATTCAAGGCCAATCAGTGATTATGAAAGTACTCCAAAACCTGGATCCAGCTGGAATACTCCATTCGCTGATGCGTCAAAACCCGGATACGATAGCGTAACCGCAGGCGCTTTTGGAACAACACCGAGCCCTTGGCCAGACTGGAACCGAGGGACAACACCTAGTAGTTTTGGCTCTTCGCCAAAACCCGCTTGGGACGGTAGACACGACGGCAGATATCCTTCTTCACAGAGACCTGGTGCACCTGTCCCAAACTTTGACGCAACGACAAAATCCGGACAAGGATGGCCCATCAATCAATTCCCGAGCAGTTCTTCTTCCGCGATACCATATGCAGGAAGTGGCATATCTTCTCCAAGTTACAGAAATCCGCAGGAAAATCAGAATAGGCCTTACGGACAACCTGCAACACAAAGTGCGTGTTTATAATTCAATATTCTTATTGCTCATTAATATTAGTACAAATAATATTGTAATTATTATGCAGTAAGATGAATAAGAAAATGATACAAAATATAATTTATATATTGAACGGATACATTAGAAACGGTGAATATCTGTCAACATGAATTTTTTTAGAATGTTAATATAAAATGCTTCTACTTGTTATACAGGCACATATGCTGGCGCTTATGCTGGAGCAACATCTGGTGTTGGAAGCCCTTATGGAGCAACCTCTAACTTTGGAAGAAAAGATCATCCATTTGATCTCCATAAACCAGCAAATACTCAAGCATCACAAAGGCCATATGATGGGACAGATCGAGCACCTTCTAGCACTGACAGTAATTATGGCCTAGGAGGTTATAACAAACCCAGACCTGGTTCTTATAGTACGCCCACAACTATAATAAATACTATCGGAACTACTAAAGGACCATATGAAGGAATCGATTCACCTAAAACTGTTCCTGGATCCCAAACTGATCCATTTGCTCCTAGAAAATCACCAGGATCACCAAGCGGTGCTTATCATCCGGGTGTCACGAAACCGAGTTATGGAAGTACTACTTCCTGGTTAGGTCAGACTGGAAGTGGAAGTAGCACTTGGCATGGCATAGGAACTACACCTCATGTTGGATTTCCAACGTTAAATACTGAATTTGGAACGACTAAAACTCCGTTTAGTCATGTTAGCACCCCAAGTTCTATATTATCTGCTCCATACGACAGAACAGGACCAAAACAACCTAATTTTAATATTGGAAGTAGTAGCGCAATTGCAAGTGCTGGTGCAAGTGCGTTTGGAACGTCTCCTGGTATATACAGCACTCCCAGCATAACTACGACTACCTCATTATATGGTACAACACCGGCGTACAGAGGAAGTTCAAGTTATACTCCCGGGGTTAAAGGTTCTATCGGAAGTACTAAACCTGCTTATGGACTTGTTCCTCATGGTACATATCCTAATATTGAAAGTGGTACCTGGCCTGGAGGACAGCCCAGTAGTGGCACTAGACCTTGGTCTAGTGGAAAACCTGGAGATGGAAGTGGAATTACGCCTGGTAGATATTCTCCAGGTATTTTGCCTGCTAAGCAACCTCAAGGAAGTGGAACATGGCCTTCCAGACAACCAGCAAGTGGAAGTGGAGCTTGGCCTAGCAAGCAACCTGGAGATGGAAGTGGGGCATGGCCAGGCCAGGTACAATCTGGATCTGGAAGTGAACCTGGATGCGGGCCAGGTGGAAATTGTGGAGGTGCCACTGATTTGCAAGGAGGTAGTAATTGTGGAGGATGTTGTGGGAATTATAATTGCAATAGCGGTTGTAGTGGAAGAGATAATGTACCAGCACAGGGATTGTGTGGAGGAGTAATAGGTCCTAGTGGTGTTAATAAAACATATTATCCCGCTGGAATTGGCGATGGAAATGTTCCAAATATTGGAGCAGCATATTCACCTCAAAATACCGGAACTGGTATTAGGCCAGTTTATCCTGGAACGCAAGGTAAGAAAAATAAGAGAAAAATAATATTTATAAATTGATTAAATATTTAACTGTTTAGATAGCTAACGTTATTTTACGCATTATATAAATGACTAAATATTTTAATATTTATCCTTTAAGCAATACGTAAAATAATACAAGAAATACTAGCTGTTTGATAGTTGTAAATATGATTAAAGCTAAATTTTAATTTTTATTAAAGGTGCAAGTACAACACCGGAAAATCCTGTGTCATGGAATTCAGCAAATCCATTCTTATATGGAACTAGAAGTATGTGCATTAATATTTGAAAATTTTAATTAAATCTTTATCATTTTTATAAATTATATTTTTTTCACTTTTATGGTGAAAACAATAGTATGTATTATATAAAACAATAATAGTTCATAACTAAAAAAAATATAAGAAAATCTTTCGTAACAATAATTTATGTTTAGGAGCAATTCATCATATAAAATAATATATACATATAGAGTTCATCATATGTAAATTATATGAAATATGATATACATATATACATATTTATTATATGAAATATATATTATATGATTAAATTTTCTAAAATATTACGATATTAATGTCTCAAATTTCAATAGTATAATAAATTAAATTTTTAATTTATAAAAATATATATTAATAGTGTCAAGAAATACATATAAACGTTAGTTGTATCTTAATCCACTGTTTAGGCAGTACTCCAAGCAGTATTTCAGATCCTTGGATTGCAAATGCAAATAATAAACCAATTGGTCCAGGAAATCCTTTTCTCGATTCAAGTTGGAATCGTCCTAAGCCTGAATATAGCAACTCATATAATGATAGAAATGTGATTCCTCATGAAGAAACAAAGCCTGTTGGTCAAAAAAATCTTTTCCTGAATAATGACAATAGAAGAGGAGATAACAGTGCTAATCCTAACGAAGGTGTAATTCCGCTTGAAGAAAAGATACCAAAAGGAAATAATCCTTTCCTTACACCTTTGATAGGTGGAAGTGGCGGTTCAGGTGGTCCGTCATACGGTAAATATCCAGATAGATCAGGAACACCAGGAAGTTTCCCTGGTTCAGGAACACCAGGAAATTATCCTGGATCGGGAACACCAGGAAATTATCCTGGATCGGGAACACCAGGAAATTATCCTGGCTCAGGAACACAAGGAAATTATCCTGGTTCAGGGACACCAGGAAATTATCCTGGATCGGGAACACCAGGAAATTATCCTAGCTCAGGAACACAAGGAAATTATCCTGGTTCAGGGACACCAGGAAATTATCCTGGATCGGGAACACCAGGAAATTATCCTGGCTCAGGGACACCAGGAAATTATCCTGGATCAGGAGTATCAGGAAGTTTCCCTAGCTCGGGAACACCAGAAAATTATCCTGGATCGGGAACACCAGAAAATTATCCCGGATCAAGAACACCAGGAAATTATCCTGGATCGGGAACACCAGGAAGTTATCCTGGATCAGGAAGTAATCCTCAAGGTCCTAATCCAGTACAATGTAAGCTGGGTTTGTTTGGTTGTGGGACACCCGGTAGTGGAAGCTACGCAGGTGGCAAACACCCAGGAGGAGCATTTGGCGGAAATGTTGGAACTGGTACTGGAAATCCAGGAGGCATTGGCAATGTTCCTGGTGGGAATTCTGGAATTGGGGGATTCACTGTCGGCGCAGATCATCCAGGAGGGAATAATTTAGCGGCATCCGTTAGCGGTGCTCAAGCGAGAGCTTACGCTGGATCTTTCAGTTCTGCTCAAGCTTCCAGCTCCAGTTTTGCCGACTCTTTTCCCGGCGCACCAGGTTTGTTACTTGCAAAAATGATTTAACGGTGGACATTTCGCAAAATACAATTCTGTAAAAAAAATTTGAAAGTGCGATTTACTTTCAATAGCTAGAAAACGTCACGTTTTAAAAATAGAAAATATATAATCAATACTATCCATAAAATCATGAAAATTATAAATTAGAGTATAATATTTTGCAATTATTTTTAAATTAAAAAAATCTTTTCGTTTATAAGATATATTATTGCAAACATTGGATCTCAAAATATGATAACTATACACTATGGACACGAACAGTAATAAAACTTATTGAAAACGATAAAATGATATTGATTAAATGTACTTAACAGAAATTTCGCTTTTTTATTTATATTCAAATTAAGACTGTGATCCGAAAATGAACAGGCAAACGAACGACTGTTTAAAATTGGATAACCAGCGTTGCGTTAACAAGCCACACGATCATTAAGATTAGAACGAGGGAGTGTGTGCCGATCATAAATCAAGTCAACGATGCGTTCATAATTCCACAGCATTTATATCCCCGCGATGTCAAGTAGATCATACCAATGCAAGTTTTTTCTCACGGCTAATATCACGCTTTAGCGAGACATTGTAGCGGTATTTTTTGAAACGAAACGAATATATGCGAGATAAGAACGTAATCTCTCTTTTACAATGGGAAAAATGGCCTCAAGGTCAACCACGTTTGCATTACGAAGGATTGGAAATACGCGTGTGATTGATGCGTTTCTTCGTACAATGATGCATAAATCAAAGATAGCAGCGTCTTAATTAATAGTAAGCGCCGGTTCCAGGTATCCGTTTCCGTTCTTTGACTACGAAAGCTGTTATACACATATACACACAATTCGCATTGACCATAATTAATTTACCATATCAATAATATCTAGCAATGTTTCTTAATGCATTTCTGTCTATTATAAGATAATAGCAAATGTCAGCAGTTTGTAACAATTCAGCTATTTAACAAGATTTGTATATTTTATAATATTTGAAATATTTATAAACAAAAGTTAAATTTAAATAATATTATGCCGAACAAATTTTGTCAAAGATAAAATGTTGTTGAGTTTATCAATTACTTTTAAACAAGTTCTTACTTATTTTATTTGAGGATATGTGGCTTAAAAGCTCTTAGCAGTGTGGAAATCTATTAAATAATTTTGTATTCGTAGGATCCGCCAATAATTTTGGTGGAAATTTGTCTCCTGGAGCGCAAAATCAAGGACTTAATTCCTGGGCTTCCAGTGGTGCCTCTGCTTTTGCCAGTAGTAATGCCGGAAGTAAGTTTCCAATAGGATTATTTTTTTAAACGTGTATTCAGAGAGAGATGTAATTATTTAATCTAAATTGTAGGAAAGAATATTAAAATATTAAAATATTATTGCAGGCTGGTCAGGAAATCATCCTATCGACGTGAAGGGTTAACCAGTTTAATCGAAAGATGAATATTAAAGTATAATAAATACAGACGACATAATTTTGAAATATATTATAATATATTTTGATGTCTCGACACTTAATCATAAAATGCTTAATGTCTGTCATGTAAAGCTTGATGTATAAAGAGATTTTATATTTATTTGACGTATCGCTTATTTATTGTAATTGATACGAGTAGATAAAATTTTCCCTTTGTACATATCTTATTGTTAGTTAACTGATGAAAAAATAAATAGATTTCTCAGAATAACGTGTATAATAACGACTTACGTCACGAGTCCTTATTATCAGTTATTTCAATAATTGGCAATGTAATATTCCATTCCATAGAGTTACGACTCTATAGTCCGTTAAAAAACGTTAATTTTCAATATTTTTGCTTTATCGTTTATCTTTGCCATATTGTTATTCTAAGCAAGATAGATTCCATAATTAAGTCCTTAAATCAATACAAATAGGGGCTCTTAATTTTCCATGACATAGACAGTAATACTTGATCTTATTATCTGAGGGAATGGATGATCAACGAATTAAACACCCAGTATATGTTAATGAGCGAGCTATTATCCTTAATATTCTTACGACGTAGAAGTAATTACAACTCGCGCTGAGAAATGTATAAAAGGACGTTTTTAGTTTCATAGATTCAGTCTTTCTTCCGGGCTCCACTGTGTGTTTCTTGAGGAACCTTCTCCAGTTTACAAGCATCATGAAGATCATCATATTAATTTCTACTCTATTAATATTATTAATTCAACTATCTAACGCACAGATGCGTAAGTCTTATTATTATTTATATAATGAGAATACTCATTAAAGAGTATATGATCAATGGAAATAATAGCGACACCATGGTGTAATTCTATTATTAGTTATATATATATAAAACTATATATTTATATAGATATATACTATATATATATAACTAATTATATATATATAGAGAGAGAGGAAGGACACTGATACTGACATAGGTCTCCTAAAGCGACATCCCCTTATTTCTTAGAAATTAACTAGCATCTTATTAATACTAATAAAAACTGTTTAGCTAATTAAAGAAGTACAAACTCATAACTCATATATTTGTGGCTTATTTCTATCAGCTAAAAACAAATTCTATGAATCCGAGAAGAAAATTCTTACGATGTTTTTTTGCAAATTGCGTAATATAATTAAAATAAAAGTGACTGTATTATTGATAATATTATGTTATTTTAAATGTTTACAGTTTCATAAATTAGTTTCTTTTACAGACTAGGATATATCTTTATTTATAGAATAGGAATGTTGGCATTATTGCATACTATGTCAGTTTTGGAGCCCATTTTGTCAGAGCTCATTTTTGCATAACTTACAAAAAACTTAATTGTTGCAAAATTGCAAACAGTATTATAAAAATCGCTTATACCATCTCTGATAGAAGATTTTTTAGTTTGTATTTATATTTTTGAAGTTGTATTTTTATCTTTTGTTTAAGAAATATTGTCTAAAAACAAAGTGGTATATCGGTTATCGGTGACTTTCCTCTATATATAATATTTAATATACAGAATAATTTCAATAATAAAATTTATATCCTGGAAGCCAATTTTTTTATTTTTATGCTATTTTATAGAAGCAGTTTCAATTAATAAAATTTATATTTTGATGTCTTTGATTTTTATTGCTATTTTATAGAAATAAAGTTTTGATTAATAAAATATCATTTATATAGATGTAAGTTATATCGTGTGAAATTTTATTTTTCTCACATTTTCTTTGACATCAATTAAAGATGTCTAATACAGAATTTTCTTAGACGAAGTTAATAATGACAGGATTGCTTCCAATTTAAATGTTATGTTATTTATATATTGTTCGAGAACTAACGATCAGTAACTAATGATAGAAAACCATCCATATAATTTATGTAATAATTAAACCTTGTGGAAATTTTTTACAAATTTTGAATTTTATATATAATTTAGAAGGCATGTATGGTATGGAGATCCCAGGGAGCCGCCTAAACCGCGGCAGAGGAAACAATAGAGGTTACAATATGAGACAAGGAGAATACAATATGAGGGGAAGATACGATATGGGACCAGGTTATGGATCAGGTATATATTGAAATCCAAAAAAGATGAATCGGTGATCTGGGTCTACCACAAGACTTCTATGCGTTTCCACAATAATTCGTATTAAATTGTATTATATCATATTAAATAATATTTATATGTATAAAGAAAACAGAGATCATATGAAAACTTTTTCCTTGCACTACATTATTGTTACATTATACTATAGTTACACTATATTCGTATAGTACTTTATCCTAAGGAGTAAAAATATATTAAAGAAAGATACTATATGTATAAAGTTTCTCATATATATAATATTCATGTGTAATGGATTGATATAGATGGACACTTTGATATTGTTAATATATACTGAAGAGATTCTATTTTGGTTTGTGAATTAATAAACAGCTATAAATTCTCTGATTATGAAGTTTATTTTATGTGCATATATTATTATGATTACATGCAAAAAAATTAAATTTACTAATATATAAATGTAGATCATGAAATTTTTGGGATATTTTACAACCTATACTATTAAACGCTTCTAAAAAATTGTTTATTTCGCATAGTGCAAGCAAAAAATCGCAAAAAATCTCTCACTTTTAATATCATAATTTATATGGCTGCAATGAAAAAACAATTTTAATTAACAGGAACAAAAATAGCTTAATATGTCATATTTCGCTCATAATTTTCATTTCAATGGTAAATAGTAGGTATACTTTTTATAGAAAATAATATATTTTTTTAAATCAATTTTTGTGTCAAATTCTTTGCCAATGTTTGTGCAGAAACTTGGTTATTTATATAATGCGGTATATTTGCAAATATCGTTCGTTTATAAATTGTATTATTAAAGGTAATGAAAATGTAACACGCGGAATGCAGTTTATAAAGCAATAAATTTTCGAAAATATATTGAATGTTTCAAATTTAATTAAATAGCTACATAAGTACGTGACAATTTCAATGTAACTAAAAAATTTCAATTAATTTCATGATATTGTTTCAGGTACGTTCTTCTAATTCTCAACTACCTGGAAACCCGAAATTTATTTAATATAATATGATTCTTCTTGTGAGTTAAATAAATATCTATGTGAGATATTTTTTGTGTTCTCATTTTTACCAATCTAACAATATATGATTGTTTTTTTATTATAATACATATATATATATTTGTTAAAATAATTATCCTACAATTTAATTCAATTATGAGTTTTCAACCAATAATATTTAATTTTTTATTATTATTATATTGTCTTTTTCAAATTAAAAAGGCTTCAGAAACAGTCATTTCAATATCTTTGTAGCATTTATGTGAACATCTGTTTTGAGTTTTCAGTTTCCATTTGCCTATCTTATTTATCTTTTTGTTATTCTTTTTCTTTTAAAGTTTCTTGAATGTCCAATTCAAGTTTGTAGATATAACGCTTTCACAATGTATTGATTCTCAGATAGCATATATTAAATACGATGGGTTTTAAACATTTTAGCGATTTTACTCGTCTTTCAGGTAGGAATATTAAGTGACTTATTGTTAGCAATTTACTTAGAAATTAATTTATTATTTGTCCATACACAGGAAAAAATACGACTTTATCAGACCTATTGGCATATAAAACAGATACAGGTGTAATCATGGAAATATGCTATACAACTACAAACATACGGTGCTCAATGTAAAGAAACAGAAAGCCGTAATAGACTAGATCCGTGTAGTTAGGATATGTGATTTGAGGACAGGTGACTATTTAATGCTGTTTTATGGGCGAATTTTTTCATACAAATAAGACATTCGTGAGTTTTTTCGTTAACGTGCACCAATAAGTGCTTTTTCAACGCTGCTTTATCTTTGCATATTTTTTGACAAGTACTACATTCAAATGGTCTCTCACCAGCGTGAATCAGGATGTGGCTATTTAACGTGGTCTTCTGCGTGAAAGCTTTGTGACACACATAACATTCGTACGGTCTGTCACCGGTGTGACTTAACATATGTTTTTTCAACGATGACTTTTCCTTGAATGTCTTCTGACAGATGTGACACGCGTGTCGCTTATCTCCTGTATGTATGATCATGTGCGAGTTTAATCGCGTCTTCTCCCTGAACGCCATGTCGCACATATTGCACGCAAACGGTTTCTCACCGGTGTGTATTAGAGTATGCCGATTCAGATCCGATTTCCTGGTGAAGATTTTGTCGCAAACCTTGCAATCGTATTGACCGCCAGTGTGTAATAACATGTGACTGTTCAAATCCGACTTTCTTGCACATGCCTTGTGACAGACGTGACACTCATGTGGTTTCTCACCCGTGTGGACCAACATATGGGAATTCAATTTGGCTTTTTCTCGAAAAGTCATTAAGCATTCTTTACACTCGTATGGTCTCTCACCAGTATGAACCATAGTATGCCTAATTAATTCTGATTTTCTCTTGTACGTTTTTTCACAAATGTTACACGCGTGTGGTTTCTCACCGCTATGTGCTAGCATATGATTGTTGAGCGCGGTTTTTTGGGCGAACGATCTATGACACAATGTACACTTGAAATGTTTGTTTCCCGTATGGAGTGGCAAATGCATGTTCAATTTCGCCTTCTCCTTGAACGCTTCGAAACAAATCGTGCATTTATAGGGTTTGTCCGTATTCGCGTGAATGGTCATGTGTCGATTCAAATTAATTTTCTCCTTAAACGTCATGTGACACACATCACATTCAAAGGGCCTGTCTTCCATTGGCATTATCTGTTCGTTCATACCAGCTCGCTTCATAAAAGCCTGCTGCAACGCATCACAATCGTAAGGTTTATCTAATACATGTAATTGCATGTGGCTCCTTAAGCTCCATTTATAAGCGAATCTTTTTTGACAGATGTTGCACTCTAATGGACTCATTCCAACGTGAGTTAACATGTGGGCATGCAGGCTAGAGTTATCAGTAAAATTTTGTTGACAGACCTCACATTGATTTCCACTACAGTGCGTTTTTAGATGCGTTACCATGGAATCATTATTCAGAAACCATTTCTTGCACATTGAGCATTGGATCTTG